TTTTTTTTTTTTTTTAAGACAGTATCTCTCTGTTGCCTAGGCTGGAGTGCAGTGGCGCAATCTCGGCTCACTGCAACCTCCGCCTCCCAGATTCCAGCGATTCTCCTGCTTAACCTCCCAAGTAGCTGAGACTACAGGAAGGTGCCACCACACCTGGCGAATTTTGTATTTTTTAGTAGAGACAAAGGTTCACCATATTAGCTGGTCTTGAACTCCTGACCTCATGATCTGCCCGCCTCGGCCTCCCAAAGTGCTGGGATTACAAGTGTGAGCCACCTCGCCCAGCCAGATTTTTAAAATTATATTTCCCAACAGCTACAGAGTGCCAGACCCCCTTGTACACCTTCAGAAGCCAAAGCCACGCCTGACCCCCTAGGTTCTACCTGCTGCATCCTGGAGAAACTCTCTGGAGCTACTGGGAGAGTAAATGGAGGCTCAGGCAGATGCAGGCTGTGGAGCCACAGATATATTAAAGAATAAAAATTATATCACAGACTAAAGAGGTCTGTGACACTTTGACATGCTCCTCCAATCCCCAGACTTTCTGGGACTGGACCACTGGCCATCTGTAAGGCTCTGATTTCTAAGGAGTTTATAGCAGAAGTTTATACCTCCCACTTAGTCTTGGAACTAGAATGAGTGTAGAAGTGGGAGCAAGTACAGACAGCTAAGGCAAAGTGTGCAAGCAGATGAACTTTGCCCTCATTGCCCCCTTCCTCCTATTACCGTTTCCCAATGCTCACTGGCCCTCAGGGTGTCCTCCCAGTGCCTGCAGGCTTCTTCCTTTTTTCTAAGGGGCTAGACTGCTTTATTTAGTGGAAGTAGCCCAACCCAAATCCAAGCTAAAATTTACATTTTCAAAAAGGACTCTTGCTAAACTGCACATATTTTCACTTTATTTAGTACATACTAATTGAGCATATCTGGTGTGTGAAACACTGATATATGTTTCTGGGAGAACAGGTAGGAGATCCCCAAATTAAAATCATGCAATCTTTGCACTAAAAGGGATTTCCTGTCTCTTGGGGAAGACGTTACAGGTAGTTAGGCATGAGCAGGGTAGGAGAGGGCTCTCCCCAACCCACTAGGAATGTCAGGTGATGGTTCAACATTTGTCACATTGCCTCTCTAAAAGTGAGAGGCCATTGCCAGGGAGAGGCCATTATCCTGAGTGTCCACACCTGTTGCCTGTTGCACTAAAGTGTTAATTGAATGCAGATGCCAGGAAGAAGCAACTTCCAGGGCATGCACAGTAAGAGACAAAATAGCAGAATGTGACCTCCCAGGGCACTCCACCAGAAAAGGGAAGAAAGCCTCAGACAGGCATATCCACAATGTTCTTAAACACACTGTGCACGCTCACTTCCCAAGGGTAAGGAGGGCACCGAACATGCAGGCAGCCCACCTTAAGGGAAGAATCATGAGAAAGGGACCAGCCTATAAAGTTCTAGGATCAAGGTTAAACACTGCACTTGACCTCGGCCCGCTTGGGTCTCTTCCAAGCATACTTTCCTTTCTTTCCTGTTCTAAAGCCTTTTTAATGAATTTCCACCCCTGCTCTGAAACTTCCCATGGTCTCTTTTTCTGCCTCCTTTATGCCCCTCAGTCAAATTCTTTCTTCTAAGGAGGCAAGAGTTGAGGTTGCTGCAGACACGTATGGATTCACCTCGGATAACTCGGTTGCCTTTCACTGCTAACACATTTGGTGCTATGAGACTCAGATGTTTGCCACCCCTAACAAAGACAGACTAACAAACACACAAACCCCACAAAGCATGAAAAGGCCTGTAAGAAGGAAGTGTTTGCTGTGTACTGAGAATGGAACTGCTAGGCTAAGGGTTCCCTAAGTGGAAACTTGAACGTATGTTGCTGGTTTTAAATCCAAACTTAGAAGCTTTTGGTCAGAGACTTCTGAGAGAGTCTATGAGTCCCCAAATGTTTTAAGTGAAACTGAAACATTTCTGGTAGAGAGAGCATGGGTTCTGAGGCCATCTCAGAGTCCTACGTAGGGAAACACAGAGGTCTGGCTTCTTCCTCTCCACTAATCTGACCCTAGAGACTCATAGAAGTCTCCAAAGAAGACTGGGCCTCATAGCCTAACTGCTTTGCCAGATGTACAGTAACAGTAGGCTTTCTCTAGAGGTACAAGGTGTTCTCACAAGCCCTACTAGCCAAAGAATCTAAATCTTGGGGCTTGGGGTCCACTCAAAGAAGCAGGGTCTTTTGCACATGAAAGACATCCTCAGTTTCTACAGCTCCCATTCCTGGCCTGCAAAACCATCAACAGCGCTCCATTTACCTGAGCTCACCTTTCACTGTTCTCATGGGATCTGGTTTTCCACTTTGGGAGGATTGTCCATCTGCTTAGACTTATATGAAATTCCAAGGCTGTAAGAACTGAGACTGAATATGAAAGTGGACAATAGGCTGGGCGTGGTGGCTTAGGCCTGTAATCCCAGCACTTTGGGAGGGCGAAGCGAGTGGATCACCTGAGGTTTGGAGTTTGAGACCAGCCTGACCGACAGGAGAAACCTCATCTCTACTAAAAATACAAAATTAGCCGGGCGTGGTGACACATGCCTGTAGTCCCAGCTACTCCAGAGGCTGAGGCAGAAGAATCACTTGAGCTGGGCAGGCAGAGGTTGCGGTGAGCCAAGATCATGCCACTGCACTCTAGCTTGGGCAACGAGAGTGAAACAACATCTCCAAAAAAAACAAGTGGAGAACAGCCAGGCCATATATGACAACAGAACTCTGACTCAGAAACTCCAAAGGAACCCTCAAGGGAAGCCAAATCACAATCAAACCTCTGAAGCACTTGGCCCAAAATGGCCAGGACTTGCTTGTGACTACCCACTTTCCTATTTTTTGAAACCCACCTTTCCTTCTACGCTTTTTTCCAACTCAAGACCAGAGAAAGCCAAATATGCTTCCCAAACCATCCCCTAAGATGTCCTGCTACTAGTTATCTCACCTCTAGCTTCTCCATGCCAAAACCCTCTAGTCAAGGAATACCCAGGCCTTCCCCTTTTTTTTCTACTATGAAGCTTTCCACTCCCCTGCCTGCCTTTGATTCTCTGCCAAATGCAAGTGATGGTGGCTGACTCCTCTGATATAGCCAGTTCTGAATAAGTGGCCTCTGTGTTCATTTTAGTGGTCTTCATTTATTTCCACAGAACTCTGCAGCAGTTCCTTAGGTATGTACGTGTCCTTCTGACCAGTTTCATGCAGAGCACAGGGGCTAATTTAGCAAAGTGGATGCTGCAGCACTAGCAGCCAAGTAGGACAGAAAATTAAGCCTCAAAGATTCTGATGACATTGAAAAGCTGATTTGCAGTGAGCTGAACCATTGGCCCAGAGGAGGGTCAGTTAAATATCCCAGGCAGTGTTTGGGCACCAAGAATTCAGACTAGGAGTGTGGTTAAAAACAGATTCTTTCCAGTTGTATGGAGCCAGAAAAAGGGAGAAGCTATGCTTGGTGTAGAGACAGTGAACTTTGTAATCAATCTGCTTTTTGGTCACATGAATCTAAGACCTTCTCAAGATAGCTCAATAAAAAGGGATTTGATTTACAGGTTCAGGCAAAACACATCAAATCCAGGAACAGTAATCAAAACTGTTACTAGCTCCAGGCCTAGGAAGTCGTGAGAGAGGAGGACTCTTTGGGCTATGCCTCTGTAGCTGAGTGGGCTCTCATCCGTCTCTTCTGTTTTTCTCTATACGTCAACTCCATTCTCTCTGACAGGCAGACTGATTCCCTCTAATTACTCATCAGCTTGCACCTGGCACCCAAAGTGGCCACTCCAGCCACCAAGCCTATTTCTGCTTCCAGGGGAAGCATGACACTTGTGTGGAATAATCTCTGTGTTTTTTGCTTCAATTTATCAAAAAAGTGGTATCTGTTTGCACAGCTCATCTGGTCCAGCCAAGCCACACAGGTCATAGGTCATTGGCCAGTCTCATGTGTGCATGTGTCCCTGCAGGTGATGAGTTATGCCTTCAGTCAGATTATCCAACCATGGATCAATTATTAGTGGCTAGGGGAACAAGGCCATGTCTTACATAAAGACGTGAACATGTTGGATATTATGAACATGTTCTATTACAGAAAGCAATATTATTAAATAACACAGATGATGACATACACCCGTCACAATCATTGCAAATGCCCACTAGGAAAAAAATGAATTACAGGATATGATAGTGTATTAGAGAATAATAAAGGTTATTTCTAAAAAGATCCTGCAGAAGATGGAAAGAAAGAGGGTCCAAGCAGAGAAGTCCAGGAAGGACTTCCTGTCAAGATGATGGAACAGTTGTGGTCGGGATCCATAAGGAAATGGGCCAAACATGTTAAGACTTCTAGGAGGAAATGGGCTGCATGGCCCTTCCATTCTTAAAATATTCAGTGTGGGTGGGACTTAGAGATCATCAAGTCCAGCCCTGTTGCACTTCAGCTGGGACTACTGAGGGTCAGAATGGTTGGTGACACAGCTGTGGTCACAGATTAAAGTTAGAACCAAGGCCAGAGTCCAAGTCTCTGTCTCCACAGCAGTCTTTCCACTATAGACTATTCAGAATTCCTTAGCCAGCTCACTCTTTCGTGAAGGCAGCTCCTTTCTTTCACAAAGGCAGCTCCTTTCTTTCTAACACTGGGGCTTTACACAATAGATACGTGGTGGAGAAGAGCAAGCCCCTCCTTGGTGGTCTTTGTTGGAGGACAAACTGCTCCTCAGCACAGCCCTCATCCTCTTTTCTAAAACTCCTCGAACCCTGACCCACATACCCCTGAGGACTCCCTGCATTCTGTCATTCCTCAATGTATATATAAAAGGGTTGAGGAATGGAGTCACCACACTGCTCAGTACTGAAGGGACCTTGTTGATCTCCAGATATTCTTTTTGGGAGGGGGTCACATAGACAAACACAGTGATGCCACTAGAAATGATGACTATGGTCAGGTGGGAAGCACAGGTATTAAAGGCCTTCTTCCTTCCACTTGCAGAAGGAATGCGCACTACTGTCAAGATGATGTACATGTAGGAATAGGCCACGAGGACTATGCAGCACAGGATGACCACGGAAGAAAGCATAAAATCCATCAGCTCGATGGCAGTGGTGTCTGCACAGGCCAGGGCCAGCAAGGGTCCACTGTCACAGAAGAAGTGGTTAATGATGTTGGAGCCACAGAAGGGCAGCTGCGAGATGAGGATGGTTGGAAAGAGCACAGAAAGGAAGCCTCCCACCCAAGAGAACACAACAGTCCCAATGCAGACAGGAGGTCTCATGATGGTGGTGTATCGCAGGGGGCAGCAGATGGCGGCATAGCGGTCATACGACATGACCGTTAGCAGGAGGAACTCAACTGTGCCCAAGAAGAAGTAGAAATAGCACTGGGTGATACATCCGGCAAAGGAGATGGTTTTATCCCCAGATCCTAAGTTGGCCAACACTTTTGGAGAGATGACTGAGGTGAAAAGGATGTCCAGAGTGGAGAGGTTGCACAAGAAGAAGTACATGGGGGTATGGAGGTGGGAGCAGGACAGCACGGTGGAGATGATAAGCAGGTTCCCCAGAAGAGTCAGCAGGAACGTGGGCAGCAGGAGCACCAGGAACAGCAGCTCCACCTCCCTGCTCAGGGGAAACCCCAGCAGAACAAACTCAGTCACCGCTGCAGTCCCGTTCCCCATAGGCCTGGTGGGCCTGGCTCAATTCTTCTAACAGAACAAATGGAGATAACACTTAGGAGAGTGCTCAATGTGTGAAATCCTATGGCTGCTCACTACAAAAATCTAAACGTAGAACATGATGACTGCCAGTTAGACATGTAATCCAAGTTTAGCTTGGCTTTCAATTATTTGCCTATCAAAGTGGACAAGATTTTTGAAAATAATAATGTTCACTGTTAGCAAGGGTGTCCTGAGACGTACACTGTCATATGAACTTTCTAAAAGATTATTTAGCAATGTGTATCAGAAACCTTAAAATTGAGTATATTCTTAGATTCAGAATTGTAGTTCCATCCTGAGGAAGCAGTCACGCATATGTTAAATTTTGCCGCAAGAATATTCGCCACAGAGTTTTTTTTACAATAATGAAAATTTGGTAACAACTTAAATATCCAGAAATGGGGGACAAAATAAACAAATTTTGGTACCTTTAAGCAATAACATATTATGTAGCCATTACAAACTATATTTTATAGTAACATGTAAATGACAAAACATTCAAAATGTATTATTAAGTTTTAAAGCATTATTTACATTTTTTTGTTTGTTTTTGTTTCCTTTTTTTTTTTTTTTTTTTTTTTTTTTTTTTTTTTTTTTTTTTTTTTTTTTTAGAGTCTCACTCTGTCACCTAGGCTAGAGTGCAATGGCACGATCTCTGCTCACTGGAAACTCTGCCTCCTGGGTTCAAGCCATTCTCCTCTCTGAGCCTCCCGAGTAGCTGGGATTACAGGTGCGTGCCACCATGCCTGGCTAATTTTTTATATTTTTAGTAGTGACAGGGTTTCACCATGTAAGCCAGGACGGTCTCAATCTTCTGACCCATGATCCGCCTGCCTCAGTCTCCCAGCGTGCTGGGATTACAGGTGTGAGCCATCATGCCTGGCTAAGTATTTGTTATTATTAGGTCTTTTGTTTGTTTTTTGTTTTTTGAGACAGAGTCTCGCTCTGCCAGGCAGGAGTGCAGTGGTGTGATCTCAGCTCACTGCAACCTCCACCTCCTAGGCTCAAGTGATTCTCCTGCCTCAGCCTCCCAAGTAGCTGCAACTTTTTTTTTCAAGTACATAAGAGATTTTTGTTTCCCAGGCTGGCCTCTCATAGCCTCACCTCCTCAAGTGCCAGGGCAACAGGCTTGAGCCACCGTGCTCCCTATTATTAGGTTTTAAGTGTTTTTAAAGCAAGTTATAAACTTGTAGTGACATTGTGATGCTATTTTGGGGGAGAGATGTAAATTAGCAAAGGTCCTAGAGTAGCCAATAAGACACTGCTGAAGAAGAAAGTCAGGGAAAGGGGCGCACCTTGGCAGATATTGAGACTTATAAAATTAGAATAATTAAGGCAAGATGATATTGGCACAAATATGCATTAAAATGACCAATGGAACAAAATACAGAGCCAAGAAACAGACCCACACGGATGTGGAGCAGTGATGTGTCAGAAGTGAAAGAAGCTGGTACTGCTGCTTGCCCACAGGGGAAAAAGTGAAATTGATTCCCAACCTCATATGAGACACTAACATCTACTCCAGATGAACAAAAAACTTACATGTAAAAATCAAGACTTTCAGAACAAAAGATAGAAGAATGTTGTTTTTAGCCTTAGACTAGAAAAGAACCTACTAAAGAAGACCCAAAAAGTACTAAACAGAAAAGAACATATTAATAAATGAAACTATGTTAAAATTAAGAATTTCTATATATTCAAAGACCCCTCAAATAACGTTAAAGGCAAATAACAAACAGGAAGAATGTATTTATGACATAGATGATGGGTAAACTTTAGTACTCATGTAATTAATATTTTGATTCTTACAATGAAGTAAGAAATAGATAAACAATCCAATAGAAAGGTAGGCCAACATGTTACCTGAACCATTACAGAGGAAGGAAACATAGCTAGTAAATATACAAAAAGATGCTTGATTTCATTGGTAATTAGGGAAATATAAATTAAGACACTAGCAAGATACCATTTATATCCACTATATTTTCAAGAAGCAAAAATATGACAATAACAAGTGTTGATGAGGATGTGGAGACTTAATAAATTTACATTGCTAGTGGGAGTGTAAATTTATATAATTGTTTTGGAAAATAATTTGTCATGACCTTGTAAAGGTGAACATGCACATACTCTGTGACCCAGTAATTCTACTCCTAGGTAGAGAAACTTGTACATGTGCCCCAGAAAACAAACAAGATTATGTGTAGGGAAGGTGGAGGGAGGGAGGGAGGGTAAAGAGGGAGGGAGGAAGGAAAAAAGGAAAGATAAAGGGGAAGGGGAAAGGGAGGGGAGGGGAAGAGACAAGAGGAGAGAAGGAAAGAAGAGAGGGTGGGAGGAAAGAAGAAAGGAAGGGAAAAAAGAGAAGGAGGGAACAATGTCCAGAGACAGGAGGATAAATCATGATATCTTACAGAGTTGAACATTATACAATTAAAAAATGAATAAACTGCAGCTCAACCAACACTGATATGAATTTTCTGTTTTTTTTTTATTTTTTTTTTGGAGACAAATTCTCACTCTGTCACCCAGGCTGGAGTGCAGTAGCAATAGCACACAGCTCACTGCAGCCTCGACCTCCCTGGATCAAGTGATCCTCCCACCTCAGCCTCTTGAGAATCTGGGATCACAGGTGCACACCACCATGCACAGCTATTAGGCTGGTGCAAAAGTGTTTGCATTTTTCCATTATTTTTATAGATATAGGATCTCACTATGTTAGCCCAGGCTGGTCTCAAACTCCTGGGCTCAAGCGACCCTCCTGCCTCTACTTCCTAGTGTTGGGATCATAGGTGTGAGCCACCACGCTCAGCCTCTTCTTGATATTTTCAATATATATATGTATTTTTTGAGACAGAGTTTTGCCCTCATTGCCCAGGCTGGAGTGCAATGGTGCGATCTCCACTTACTGCAACCTCCGCCTCCCGGGTTCAAGTGATTCTCCTACCTCCACCTTCCAAGTAACTTCGATTACAGGCATGCACCACCATGCTCAGCTAATTTTGTGTTTTTAGTAGAGATGGGGTTTCTCCATGTTGGTAAAGCCGGTCTTGAACTCCCGACCTCAGGTGATCTGCCCACCTCGGCCTCCCGAAGTTCTGGGATTACAGGTGTGAGCCACTATGCCCGGCCTTCAGTATTTTTTTTTTTTTTACAATGAACAAATATTCCTTTTATATAAAAGAAGTTAGGCTGAGCATGGTGGCTAATGCATGTAATTCTAGCACTATGAAAGGCCAAGATGGGAGAATGACTTAAAGTCAGGAGTTTGAGACTAGCCTGCGCAACATGGTGAAACCCTGTCTCTATGAAAAATACAAAAATTAGCCAGGCATGGTGCCATGCACCTGTTGTCCCAGCTACTTCCGAAGCTCAAGTGGGAGAATCACCTAGGCCCAGGAGTCTGAGGTTTCAGTGAGCCATGATCACATACCACTGCACTCCAGCCTAGGTGACACAGTGAGACCCTATTTCAAAAAAAAAGAGAGAGAGAAAGAAAGAGAGAAAGCAAGAGAGAAGGAAGGAAGGAAGGAAGGAAGGGAGGGAGGGAGGGAGGGAGGGAGGGGACAAAGAAAGGAAAAGACAGAGGAGAGAGGGAGGGAGAGAGAGAAGGGAAAGGAAGGGAAGGGAAGGAATGAGAGAAGAGGGGAGGGGAAGGAAGGGGAGGGGAGGGGAGGGAAAAGAAAGAAAGAATTATCCTAAAAGGAGATATATAGATAGATAGATAGATAGATAGATAGATAGATAGATAGATAGATAGATAGATGATAGATATGGTTGGATTGAAAGTGTATGTTAGCAAACACATATTGAGTGCCAACTACGTTGTGGGGTCTGTGATTAATGAAAGTTTGCAGAGATGGTAAAAAAATTCCCTGCCCTTGCATAGCTCTCAGTCTGAAAGACATGTGAAGAAACCTGATTTCAGGGAAATCACAGAAAGAGAGGAAAAATTAAGGAATAGCAAAGTTTTTTTCACAGATATTTGTCCTGGGCCATTAGTCTGGAAAGCAACCCAAGTACCAGGAAAACTGATAGATTCCAGGGACAAGGTCAAATAGGATTCCAATACCTAGGAGGGACTCTGGATAGTAGAGGCCACTTAATTACCAGTGACTAAGAATATGGATTGGACTATGAACAAGAATAATCCAGGAAAGGGAAAGGAAGAGGAAGGACTGCAGAAATCCTGAGGACTGAGGTGACCTCTGCCCATCTAAGATGAGTCAGAATTCTGTATCAGTGGGCTGAGGGTGGTGGCTCATGCATGTAATTTCAGCACTTTGGGAGGCCAAGGCATGCAATCACCTGAGGTCGGGAGTGACCAACATGGAGAAACCCCATCTCTAACTAAAAATACAAAATTAACTGGGCATGGTGGTGTATGCCCATATCCCAGCTACTCTGGAGACTGAGGCAGGAGAATCGCATGAACCCAGGAGGCAGAGGTTGCAGTGAGCTGAGATCATGCCAATGCACTCCAGCCTGGGCAACAATAGTGAAACTCCATCTCTAAATAAATAAACAATAATGAAGAATTCTGTATCAGCCACTCATGCACAAAGCCTGTCCCCATGACCTGCCCTACCTTCCTGTAGCCTTGGCACACTGACAGTCTCTCTAAACAACTCACCACATTTGTATTGCCAAGGATCTTTTCTTTTTTTTTTTTTAGAAACAGGGTTTCACCATGTTGGTCAGGCTGGTCTCGAACTCCCGACTTCAGGTGATCCACCAGTCTGGGCCTCCCAAAGTAACTGCTGGGATTACAAGCATGAGCCCCCACATCCAGCCTGGATCTTTTCTTTTTTAAATAACTTTGTTGAGATATAATTCAAGTACCATACACTCCACCCATTTAAAGTATACAATTCAATAGCTTTTAGTGTATTCACAAAGCTTTGTGTCTATTACCACAATCAATTTTTTTTTTTTTTTTTTTGAGACAAAGTCTCACTCTGTCACCCAGGCTGGAGTGCAGTGGTTCAATCTTGGCTCACTGCAACCTCCGCCTCCCGGGTTCAAGCTATTCTCCTGCCTCAGCCTCCTGAATAGCTGAGATTACAGGTATGTGCCACCATGGCCCGGCTAATTTTTTGTATTTTCAGTAAAGACAGGGTTTCTCCCTGTTAGCCAGGATGGTATCAATCTCCTGACCTTGTGATGCACATGCCTTGGCCTGCCAAAGTGCTAGGATTGCAGGCATGAGCCACTGTGCCTGGCCATCACCGCAATCAATTTAAGAATATTTTAATGATCCTTCCTCCATTCCCTGGACACTGTAATTCTACTTTACGAGTCTACGGATTTGCCTGTTGTGGACATTTCATTTAAATGAATCATACCATATGTGATCCTTTGTGTCTAGCTTATTTCACTTACTATAATATTTTCTTTATTTTTATTTAAAAATTTTATTTAGAGACAGGGTCCTGCTCTGACAGCAAGGCTGCAATGCAGTGGCATGATGAGAGCTCACTGCAGCCCCAAACTCCTGGGCTCAAGCGATTCTCCTGCCTCAGTCTCCCAAGTAGCTATGACTACAGGTGCACACCACCACACCTGGCTAATTTTTTTTAATTAGAAAATAATTTTACTTTTTTTTTTTTTTTGAAACAGGGTCTCATTCTGTCACCCAGGCTGGAGTGCACTGGTGAGATCCTAACTCACTACAGCCTTGGCTTCCCATGCTCAAGTGATCCTCCCACTTCAGGCTCCTAAGTAGCTGGGACTACAGGCACATGCCACCATGCCCAGCCAATTTTTGTATTTTTTGTAGTGATGGGGTTTTGTCATATTGCCCATGCTGGTCTCAAACTCCTGGGCTCAAGCGATCTTCCTCTCAGCATCCCAAAGTGCTGTGATTACAGGTGTGAGCCACTTACCATAGTATTTGTTAAGGTTCATCCATGTTGTAGCATGGATCATTGCCAAGGATCTTAAAGAACCAATGTAGTAGGAGGAAAGGCACAGCCCCAAGAAGAAGCCCTGACGCCTGGCATGGCAGAAACACACACACACACA